CGCCCGCTCACAGGCGGGACCACATTGAGGGCGGGCGCTCTTGCTACGATGACGCTCAGTGCACTCGCGCTCCTTCCAGCGACCCCACCTCAACCACCGGCACCGGCCTGCCCGCTGTATGATGCATACAGCGGCAGGCGAGGAGACGAAGCGAGCACGGACAGCCGTCTCGGCGCTGTCCTGCAGTACGCCACGCCGGAGCTGTGCATGCAGCGCTGCAGCGCTGAGCCCGAGTGCGCATGCGTTCAACTCGACACCACCGCTGACTGCTACATGCTTCGATCCGCTGCATGTCGCGACCCGTCCTCGCTGCCACGTGATGAGTACTACAGCGTGTACGTCAAGACTGCTTGCGGCCACGCGCCAGACGTGCGGGCTTGGCGCGCCCCGCCCGCCGACCCGATGCCGCCGCAGCCCGATTCGCCGCCGCCAGCTGCCAGCTGGGCGGCCTGGGACGACGACCTGTGGTGGCCGCCGGTGGCGCAGAGCACCTCCTCAGAGCCGAGCGTGGCCAGTTTGCGCTTACGGCGCTCGCTGGATGCCTCTTCGACTGCGGACACGCCGCTGCCGCCGGAGCCGCTGCCGCTGCCGCCGGAGCCGCTGCCGCTGCCGCCACCTTCCCCACTGCCGTATCCTCCTGGCCAGGCGCCTGCTCCGCCACCGTCGCTGCCCCCGGGCACCTTCGACGGCAAGCCCGCCCTGCAGGCTGCAGTCGACCTCTGGTGCACCAACGAGCCGGCCGCCATTGCGGCGTACGGCCACATCTCGGGCTGGGACGTGAGCGCGATCACCGACATGAGCTGTCTGTTCAGCGCTACGTCGTGGTGCGAGAGGAACGGCGGCGGCTCCACGACCGGCAAGGACACGTGCAACCCCGATATCGGGTCGTGGGACGTGTCGGCGGCCACCACCATGAGGTTCATGTTCCACGGCGCCTCCTCCTTCGACCAGGACATCGGGTCGTGGAACGTGTCGGCGGCCACCACCATGAGGTCCATGTTCTCCGGCGCCTCCTCCTTCGACCAGGACATCGGCTCGTGGAATATGTCGGCGGCCATCGACATGAGCGGCATGTTCGCCTACGCCTCCTCCTTCGACCAGGACATCGGGGCGTGGGACGTGTCGGCGGCCACCAACATGGGCTGGATGTTCGACGGCGCCTCCTCCTTCGACCAGGACATCGGGTCGTGGGACGTGTCGTCGGTCACAGACATGAGTGTCATGTTCCACCACGCCGACGCCTTCGACCAGGACATCGGCTCGTGGAATATGTCGGCGACCACCGACATGAGCTTCATGTTCTACTACGCCCCCTCCTTCAACCAGGACATCGGGGCGTGGGACGTGTCGGCGGCCACCGACATGAGGTTCATGTTCAACGGCGCCTCCTCCTTCGACCAGGACATCGGGGCGTGGGACGTGTCGGCGGCCACCAACATGGGCTGGATGTTCGACGGCGCCTCCTCCTTCGACCAGGACATCGGGTCGTGGGACGTGTCGGCGGCCACCACCATGATTGGCATGTTCCGCAGCGCCTCCTCCTTCGACCAGGACATCGGCTCGTGGAATATGTCGGCGGCCATCGACATGAGCTACATGTTCGCCTACGCCTCCTCCTTCGACCAGGACATCGGGTCGTGGGACGTGTCGGCGGCCACCACCATGCGCTACATGTTCTGGGGCGCCTCCTCCTTCGACCAGAACATCGGGTCGTGGGACGTGTCGGCGGCCACCGACATGCACGGCATGTTCTACGGCGCCTCCTCCTTCGACCAGGACATCGGGGCGTGGGACGTGTCGGCGGCCACCGACATGCGCGACATGTTCTGGCACGCCTCCTCCCTCAGCGACTGCAACAAGGCGCTCATCCACGCCAGCTTCGACGCACAGACGAGCGCGTGGCCCTACTCATGGGGCTCACTAGAGTGCCCCTTGCCCCCGTCCCTGCCACTGCTGCCGTCGTCGCCGCCTGCGAGTCCGCTGCTGCCACCTCCACCCCCGCCTCTGCCGCCGCCGCCACTTCCGCCTCCGAGCCCCCCCCCGCCGCTACCACCCCCGAGCCCGCCGCCCCCGCCTCCGCCCGA